TAAACATTATAACCATTTTCTGGAAATAAAACATTGTACAAGGCTTTGTTTCATTACCAGAAGCGCAATTATCTGAGACTGACAGTCACTGCTTTGGCTGCATTCCCTGTCTGCTGGAGAGGTAACTCCCTTGAAAGGATATACAGTGAAAGAGGTGCAAAAGATGACATGAAGATCGTATGCAGATACAACATTAGAGAAGTTGGATGTCATGATTCACATTCATTTCCTGGAGATGTTTAAAAACTTTCTGAAAATATTATGATAAAGCAGGCAGAAGTGTTCTCTGGCTAAACAAGTGACTGGGCCAGAAAAGTCTAGGATTTGTAGCACACAAAGTGTGAAATGAAGGACTGCAGCACCTTAGCCAAGTTAAAGTCAGTCTTTTGCTGAGTCTTTGAGGCTGATCTTGAAGGACAGGATGGAAAAGTCATTAAAAAGAAAGGCAACAAAAGAAAAGAAAAGAAAACCCAGAACAAATAACTGCAAATATCTGCTGCATGACCCTTGACACCCAGTAATATTACCTACTGGCTCAGATGCTGAGGGTCATGTTCAGACCATATAAAATACAGATTTATATATAAACAGATAGGAAATTAATGGAGGTAGAATCTCATAAGAAAACTAAATAGAGAAGCAAAAAGTGTGGCATGTGTTACAAGGTTTAAAAAATTTAAAGATTACTGTTTTCCTAGTTTGCTACTAGGAAACAATGGGATGAAACACCCAAATCCAAGAATCATACATATTTCTGAATTTTACATCACCAGTGAATTACCTTAAACCCACACTTCCCTTAACGTTGCTGCTGTCCTTATCAGACATACCCACTCTGGATACTTTGTCTTACCGTATTAAATCACACAAATACTGGTTTTGTTTTTCATAGAATCATAGAATACTTTAGGTTGGAAAAGACCTTTAAGATCATCAAGTTTAACCCTTATCAATATTTGCTATTCAATGTTTTCATGAAGGAGCAAAGTGATCACAATCATTCAGCAAACCAGTGGTAACAATGGAAACAGAAGTCCTATGGATTGGTTTTAACAAAGCTACAAATGGCAAAATGGAAGAACTGGATCACACTTTGACGCATCTTCATGCTTTATTAAATCACAGTATAACTAAACCATAGCCAGAGTTTAAACTTTGGAGAGGGACATACACCAGTGTAGTTTTCTAACACATCTTAGAAAGCTGTTGCATATTTCCAATGTTCATTTTAGAAACAACTGCACACAAATCTGCTAAAGATGACCGCAGTACAACCAATGTTCTGACTGATAACAAAGGTCAGAGACATTAGGGGAAATAAAAATTTTTTTGAAGCTTATTACTGTTAAGAAGCATACAGATGAATTTCAGGAGAAAAGGATACTTCCCCCTTAATCTTCTGAATCTCAACAAGTACCCAACAGGCCTTTATTATGAATTTCATTTAAATTACATTAATGTGTAACTCAGGAAGAAAAGTGAATTGTTTGTATCAGCAAGAAAACAGCTGTTGTTTCTTGCTACCTAAAAGAGTTTATTTTACAGCAAACCGCAGCTACTCTGGTCCTACTGTATTTAATGTGGGTTTGATAATGTTTCAGGGGATTTACTGTTTTAGTACCTGTTTCTCCCTTTTTAACAAGTGTAAGGTTATGGGTTTTAAACAGAGATAATTTAGGAAAGCTATGACTTCTTTTATGAAGACTTTAGTTGGGAGCATGACATTTCTTTTCAAACAAAAGCAGCTGCTTAATTTCTTTTGCCTGGAAGGAACTGACTTCCCCAATTTAGCTTGATTTATTACTGCTTTTTGACTAACACCCTAATCCTCTTATCCAATTTTTGCTCAGTTCCATAGTCTGTTATCATTAGAAGTTTCAAAATTATTAAAATTATACATTTTCTAGGCAGGTGGAAAAAAAAGGAAGGCTTTTAATATACATTTACTCTGCCATCAAAGAGAGAAATGCATCACTATATGTGAATAATATTAATCTCATACCTGTTAGGTACTGGCTATACGTTAGAAATAATTGCATGGACTTTATCCTAAGTCTGCTGCTCAGGACCTCAGGGCAGTTTATACAGCTCACTCTGAGACACATTTCTGTGGTTTTACTATGATTGGTATCTGAACTAGTAAGATTAAACGTTGTTCAGGAATGTCTGCAGGCTGCAGTACCTACAGTTGAAGAACAGACACGTTCTTTCTAGTTGCAAGCCAAAATCTTTCTACATAAAGTAGCAAGTGGAATTTACAGAAATGACCGAGACTATGCTCCACATTACACTAAAATACACACCAAAATAAAAAATTAAATACAGAGTGAAACCGCAATTAAATAAATATTGGAATGGAAACTGATCAGTGAGATAACAAAACTGTTCTCTTAACTGCCTCTCAAAAGAAAATTGAGGAACAGGTGACTATTTGAAAAAAGTCCTCTCCAAATCCACTTTCTCCAGTTCATCTCCAAGCATCATCTCTGAAAACCTAAGAGAAAGTTGTGGACACTAGCCAGCCAGCTGATCAAGAGTAACAGCCATGATTATTTTCAAGCATTTGTCTGTCTCTCGGACTATGGCATAAATCTTCTAGGGCCTCTGTAACCACCTGTAGGATTGCCTTTCACTTGGGACCTGTGAAATAAGGGGGGTTTTGAAGCAAATGCGCTTTACACATCAAACCTTGGTCCATTTCCTTTATTTTAAACCAATCAGTCACAGGGATATTTCCAAATCATAATTTCCCAAATCATGCTCTTTTTCTGTACCTACACTCTCCGGGTTTCACTGTCATATAGCTGTTCTTTTTTCATGTCTCTCATTCCTGTAGCGCACTGTTCCACTGTCCTTTTGGGCCGATGGCTTGCTTCCCTCCTATCCCTTTCATCGCCTTAAAGTATCTCTTTTTTGAAATAAATTGCAGATGTAATATTCATAGATTGTATTCTGTATGTAAAGGTTCTGTACTAGCACTGTAGCCAGGTAAGTAAGAAATAAAGCAGCTAGTGACCAATACACCTGCAAAAAAAAAACCCTGAAAAATATTTATTTACTCACCTAAACAAAAAAAAGAAAATAATGAAATATTTGGTTCTCAAAATTCATTTTCAGTAAAAAAAAATAAAGTGAGGTGAATTTTGAATAATACTGTCACTGCCCCTAACCTCTGAATTTTTAGGAAAAGATGAAAACACTGTAAATAAGCATAAGCATTAACCCCAGATTCTTATCCAAACATTACCTAATTTTCCAAAATTAGCTCTCCAGAGTTGCAGCAACACTTCTGTGAGTTTTTGGTGGCTTTTTGCAGGGCTTGAAAAGCCATAAAACCATTAGAAATTGTAATTAGCTCTAGCATCACCTTCCACTTTTCAGTCTGTTCCTCTTTTATTTTTTATTCTTTTTAACAGAAGCTTCTGGCTTTTACAGTGACAGTATATTCATAACAATGTTTTCAAAATGAGTATTTAACTAACTAGTGAGAGGAGCTGGTTAGCTAAAGTATGAACCTCTCCATTCTTCTATTTGTCTCCTAAAGTCAGGAGCCTACACTGCTGACTGTAAGCCAGTCTTTTGCCCCTGATATCTCCTAGGTATGTCTACAGCCAGATTAAAACCAGCTGCTGCACCAGGCAGATTTATACATAGTTCAGCGAAAGCTCTTAATCAGATACAATTTCCTCTTGTCCCGGTCCCTTTAATTCTCTCCTTACAGTCTGATTATATCCTAAAGTGAAATTTCAACAATTCATCTTCTCTTCGAAACCTGGAAATAACATCTCATTCCAAGATTCAAAACCCATAGATCCATTTCTGCAGCTAATATAAAAACTGACTCCACCTTCAAAGTTCTCAGGTCCACAGAAACTTTCTGTGTCTATTCTGTATGTAGCTCCCATGAACATCAGATGGCAGATTGTTTTCTGTCTGACTAGATAATAATGTCCCAGTCTTCCTGCATCTAACATCTGTAGTTTGAATCTTTCACTTCAAATGATTTTCTCTACCTGACATTCTAAATTCTACCTAAAAGTCCATTTCTTCTACCACTCTTTCAATTCCACAGTCACAAATGCAAGCTGACCATGTCCAAGTTTATTATTTTTTATTTGAAACTTTCTCACTGTATTCACCTCTTCTACAGGTATCATCACCTAACTTTACTTCCCCAGAACAATTAGTTTTAGTTAAGTATCTTTTCCCAATGTCACAGTCACGATATCTGTGCTTTACTTATCCAATATAAAGATATAGTCCATACTTGGTTTCTTTGATAATGAAACGAAACTCTGCACATAGAAAATGAAAGCTCAACTCTAGGTAAGGGAAACAGTTATAATTCTGTAGTAAAGCAAAAAAAGTGTGATTAGTGAGTGTTCACAGTTTAATTTGAAGTCTTGTGACATTTGACACTTTCTCAAAGTTTTAGCTTTCAAAGGTAGTTGATTATGTAAGACTCTATCTTTTTTTAAAATTTTGTTTCAGATGGACTTTGACAAAGGACTTGGACAAATCTTGTTTAGACAGTGTATGAATCCCACAGCTCAAATCTCACAATATCTAACCTTTATGTACATTAAAAATAGCTTGTAAATGTGACCAGAATGAATTTGAAAGGCTTAGCAAGCAAAAAAGCAGATTGAAAAAAAAGTCAGATTTATTTAAAAGTATTTTTAGCTACGCTGATAATTTTGGTTGTGTGACTCATACCTTGGGAAATCTTTGTGATAGTAATAGTCAAAAACAGGTATCTTCTGAGTCAAGAAATCAGACACAACAAATCTATTCACTGAAAACCCCAAATTGAGTGTACACACACCTGCATTCTTCAATAGTTGAATGATAAAAACTATAGATCCCACCAAAAAGGGAGGCAGGCTCCAACCTCCGTCCCTATAACCCTTTAATTTGTTCCCAGGCACCCCAGTGCTCCACAGAGGCTGACATTTATCAGTGTCCGCGCTCACAGGCAGAGCAGCACCACCAGCACTCACCACCGGCCGGTGCACATCCCAGAACGCTCGCTCCTGGCTGTCAAGAATCTTCCTCTCTATCTTGTCTCTCTTCTTGTCGACTCTGTCAATGTTATAGGATATTTAAAAGAAACAGTTTTAACGCCAATAAAATTTTAAATGTAAGAAGTGTCCAATTACTTTTTACTCCCCTTTTCCCTTCAAAAACACGCAAAACCAAAACTCCTTATCTTCAGAGGAACTTACTTTGCTTGTGCTTCAGCTTGCATAAAAATAAACTCCCACTTCCGAGCAAATGCTCGCTGTAGCCTGGCCAAACTCTCCTGAAAATACATCACAATATTAGTGGGTTAGGTTGTAAGTTATTTACCATTTAATAGCTTTTAGCTTATCTTTCTCTCCTCACCTCACTCCCCGCAAGATGCAATACAAGTCACGATATCTGTGCCAGTGTAAATGTACCTTACTTATCCAATATAAAGTCTTTGCTTGACACCAAATGGAATGGAGTACTAAATGTACTTTTGAACGCCCTGACTATTTTAGTTTTGAAACTGATGACAAGGGTGGATGCAACGTTCAGCAGAACATGGGATTTCTGAAGTATTCCTATATGCTGGGTGCTGGCTGAGTAATTTTGTAATAATACAAAGAAGCATTATTGTTTTGAAAGTACCTAATAGTTAAAGATAACAGCAGTACTTGCCATACTGGATGATCCACATGACAATTCCCATCGATCATCTACAGAAACGCTTTGCGTTGAACAAGGTTGGCTGCCTATCAATTTATTTACAATACACTAATAAGAAGCTATCTATACTTTGGTAGTATAGGAATCTTCCAAGACTCCCACAGCTATAACATTTAAAAAAAATGCAGACTATAGTTCTTTACTACTGTACAGGAAATGTATATATCCTACAGCCTACTAATAATAACAGAAAGAAGATTTGTAAAATCTTAGCAAAATTCTTTGCTCCAGTGATGCTGGAACAGCTTCACTGCCTGTAACAGAGCTTTTCCAATCTCCCCCCAGCTTAAATAGCAGCATTATGCAGTCTGTTAACATGGAGAAGTCTGAGATTCTTACCTTCATCCAAAAAGACCCCGGTTACCTTCATGCACTGCTTTCTCTGAGACTAAGTGAAAAATTGTCTGTAAGCTTCCTAACAAAAAGTGTTGCTTTAACTGTATTTCTATGCACTGCAAATGTATCTCTATGACATATTTACTGAAAATAAAGACTGTAGAGAGTGAAGAGGAGACTTTCTAGAGATCTTGTCTATACCAGTAAAGGCTCTCATGGATAGTATACTGGAGGTGAATTTTCTAAGGCATGTAAGTATAAAATTATGCATACCCCACAGTGCAGTACACTGAAAAGCAAGCTTGTGCCAGAAGAAGAACTGAAGTGTGTCAGCATGGTGCTGCGGCTGGAGTATTTGGCATGTTGAGAGGCCTGGCTGACTATCCTGCTGTCCTGTCACAGTAGCACAGCTGGACAGCTTTCAGCACAGAGCCAGGGCTGTTCATGAATTTAGTGTTGACATTTTCATGAAAAATTCAGGAACTTTTGGGCAGATAGGGATGGAGTTCAAGACATCTCTCTCCTTAGCAAGAGTCATCCTCATCAGCTAATAAAACTCCCTTTTTTCCCAGCTCTTCCTGGCCCCAATTTTCTTACCTTGCCTGGGGCACAGCACAACTTTCATGGAGTGGGAATTGCCTCTAGTCTTACCCTCTTTGCCTCTTTGTCTAACTGAAGGGACAAGGGCTTGAGTGCCAGCATCACTTTAAAGAGTGAGATTTCTACCTCTACAGCTACCAAGTGCTTTTGAAAATGTTTCAGAGATCCTTCATTCAAACCTTACACAGTGTAGAGTACAATCACTTTCAAACACCCATGGTGTATCTGGGATTTGTGAACAGTTCTTTTTAATCCTGGCATGGTGATCTGAGCAGACTAAGATTAGATGTGCACCAAAATCTCAACTTTCCCAGCTAACCTTCACTACAGTCTCTCAAACAGCATTTATGACTACTGAGCACTGTCAAACCCACATGCTGGCAAAAGTGGGTAACTTATTATCCGCAAAAGTGGATAATAAATAAATTTTCACACATAATGCTTATAGTTCTCATGCTTAACATTATTTCACATGCTCATTAGGCCCAGCAGAGAAATTTACTTTTCCCCAGGTACTTACAGCTTCATAATCTGCTAGTTCGAGCCTTGCTTTGTTTTGCATTGTCCGCTTGCAGAGGTAAACAGCTGGAACAGAATAAAATAACACAGAATTTGCTACTATCCCACAAACAGAAGACCAGAAATCTAGAGGCTTCATCTCTATTTTACTGCTAACTTTTTTTTTTTTTATTTCTCCCTTTATTCTAAAAAACTTTAAATATGGGATCAATGCTACCAGTATTGTAACTAAAATGATGGGTCAGATACAGAGATTCATTAAATAATTATAAAATCTGCTTTATGCAACAAGCATCATATACAAAATGCATGAGATACTTGGAGTGAGGTTGTTTAATGGCCAGGGAACTAACACATTAAAGGAAAAATAGCAAAAAAAATTTTTAAACTGTGTGTGTATAACTCATAATGTGTAAGAGTTTTATCAGGAGGTGCTGCTATATTAGTCAAATACTTTTTTAAGAATGTGTATACATGGTTTTAGTATTTTTTACTTTATATTTAGAAACCACTAAATTTCAACCTTAGAAAATTTTAGCTAAAAATTAATTCCAGATAAAATTCAAGTTTCATACAGATTAGTTTGCTATATCGAATATTTAAAACAGAAAATAATGTGACCAAAAAATGAATAAAATGTATCATGTATTAGATATAATGAGAAAAAATATTCATTCGTTGATTTTCTAGATCCCAAATCCTTCAGCAGAGCTGTTCTGCCTCCACCTCATCCAGACAGAGCAGAATCTTAACTAATAAAATGGAATACTGACAGCTAAATACTGAAAAGATGCAGGGATGAAAATGAAACTTAACACTACATAAACAGCACAGTGGTTTGCATCATGTTGCTTGATCCTGAATTCCTTATGCGCTCCATTGCCCTTGAAATAAGTACATTTCCAATAGACTTTATTTAGCAACTAATCCTTCACATCAATTCTGAATATTGTACAGCTTCCCCCACTAGTAAGACAGTGAGTGCAGTACAATTCCTTATTGTGCAATATTTACCCACTTCATGACTTCAGAGCACCTTCTCATGTGTAAGAAAACCTTAACTTATCTGTGGTGTCTGTAATTAGCAAAAAGAACCCATATTTACTGGTTGTGGTTAGGAATGTTCCTGCTTCCCGACTGCCAGCTTGTCCACTACAGGAGCAAAGAGGAGTAACTTCAAATAAGGAATCTAACTCTTGCAGTCACTAGGAAGAAAGAAGTGCTCATCTTGTATATAGCTTTGATTTTTAGGGTAGTCAGACCAATTCCGTGGAAACATTTATTTCTGACAAGTCACCTGCAGATGAACGCAAACGCACTCCAGTGGATACTATTTCCGTGGAACTGGTGACAAGAACTTCTAATAACTCCAGCTGCAGTTACAGATGTTACTTGCTGTAAAATTAAGTTATATTTTAATGCAGCTTCTCTCTCCCCTGCACCCCATTTTGTAGGTGTTATCTGGTCTATTTTCTTTTATACTTTTTCACTTTCCACTCCCATAAGCAGCCATGGTCTCTTTCTCTATTCCCTGCACTACAATATCTCTTCTGGTTTCAAAACTATTTCTGTGTCTACAAAATCTACAAATCGTGTCACACACCAAGTACAGCAGACAAACAGTTTCTATAGACTCAGTTTCCATGCATTTTAATATTAGTATACACTTAACATTAATGCATTGGCATGCATGCTGAAACATCACAAAAAGATGAGGGGATGAATTCTAGACACTTTGTACCTAGGTTGCATCCACAGTCAGTACACTGGTAAGACAATATTGAGGTGAGAGAAGGTCTTTGTCATTTTGCTCCTTGTACAGTGAAGCATTTTCCTCTTCAAAATTGGTTGTTTAATTGAAGAAGAAAACAGTTCTGAGAATTCCAGGAGTCAATTTTTGTCTAGTCCAACCAGTGTAACACCATCTGAACAGCAACAAAACAAACTCCCTGTTCTCTGCACTTGATTAAGCCCTTGTAAACCACATTCTCATGGTCCCTGTGTAGGCACCTTTAGTTAGTATAGCACTTCCATGAGTTCAATTGTGGCTATATTTTGAGATTAGCACGTCCTGCTACCTCCAACAAAAATTCGTTGCTGCAGAGGTGGCTAACTGTCCATCTTTCTGTCAGGATAGGTTTTAGCAAAAAAGCATCTTCAGATCACAAAGTTCTCAACACTGACAAAACAACCACCAGGTGACCAGGTGACCAGGTGCAGGAGAGAGGAATTAGCTTGCCACACTATTAATCTAATATCACATCTAAGAAAACTTCACTGAGCAACTGTACTGCAGTATTTTCCCTGCAGGGTTCTTTTAATGACCCTTTTTGCTCCAACTCTGTAGCAAATAGTCCATATAAGAATGTTTGGTTTTCATTATGAGCATATCTTAGCCAAGACTTAAAAAATCATGTTCATTCCTCAGACTTTTTTTTCTCTGGAATATCCAGATCCCCTCCCCTTCAGGAGCCTAAAGGTTATAATATCTGTGGCTTGGATTCATTATGTCAGAACAGTTTCTGTGCGCCAGTGTGGATAAGGCAGAATATGCCCAAATAGGATTTAGTTATTTGGGAAATATGACATATGCACTATGTAGAAGAAAATAGTCCTGAAGGACATTCCCACTCTTTGACTGAATTTACTGCCTTTGCTATGTGCTAACAATTACATCCTTATTATAGAAGTGCATGTTTGAGGATCTATTTACGAGCTACTTGTAGTCACACAAGAAGCTGGCAGCAGCTCAGGAGTTTGAGTTCATCAGTTCACACTCTCATCATATTCTTTGGCTTGTCTGTAACAAAATTCACTAGCCCACTGGAAAGCAAAAAGAATGTGAAAATCACTCTCATTTTCAACTAGAATATTTGAAGACACAGAGACATGAGGTTTTGAGGTTTTGCTCTTCTGACTTTTAGAGCAATGAGATCTGAAATACAAATACTCCTGCCATTCACAGGTACCACTCCTTTTCTGCACCAAAACATGTGAAGTTAACTGCATGTGTCCGGTAGCCTGACCTTGAGCATCTGGGGAAGATGTCAGTCAGTTTCCCTCTCAAAGCAGTGTCATGAGACCTCAGCATTTCAGAGAATGTCAGTGTCTGCTTTTCTAATCCATGGTTTGTATGAGTTGTCAGTGTTTTTACAGATTCATACATAAGTACAATCTGCAGGAAGGGTCTCCAACTAAAAGCCCTTCAATTTCTCTACATAGTTCTCTATTTATTTACCCTCCAGAGGTCCTGGTCAGGGCCCTCGGTACACTAAGGAACTGTAATTGCCCTGAGCAGCCCACCCAGGGTCTTCACCGAGGCCCCTGTGCTCAGGAGCTGTGCTTAAGCCCTGCTACCTCCCTTGGCCATGGCTTGAGCTATGTTGTAGATATGCCTCTAACCAGCCCTGTAACTTACCAATGCTGCCCTGGCTTCCTGGCTTGAACCTTGGACCCTCCTGGTGACTTGAGACTTTGTCGGTGAGGACATTGCTCCTGCTTGCACTGTTGCCACCCTCAGTTCTTGTTCACCTTCCCTTGCAGAGCTACCCGCTCTTGCTGCTCCCTGACAAGGGTGCTGAAAAATGCTTAACATATGGATGAATGATATGCAAGGAACAGGGTCTGATTAATAACCTCAATTTGCTAAATATGTACTGCTACATACACTCTTATTTTTAGAGCTAGTATATTCTGATGGATTTTGCAATCAACATAATTGCCTCCACTAAAGTGAATTATATATTAGATGCTATAGCTTGTGCTTTAGAAGTGACTATCATGAGAAAACAGATTTGCCAATAATTTTAAAGGCAATATTAATACACAACATTTCATAGTGAAAGATGGTCAGTGACGTTTATAAATGGGCATTTGAATGACAAACCAGTACTAAAACACACCTTGGTAGCTATGCAGCAAATACAGACTACTCGCTCTTGAAAATTCTGTTCAGGCATTTACAACATGTGGGCAACGTGAGACCTTTAAGTGAGATTGCAAAGTGTTCTAGCAAGAGTTGCATGAAGAGGGTGTCTGGGTTTTCCCTCTTGCAAGTTTCTAAACTGTTGCACCCAAAATAACCCATTTTCATGGTTAGCTACCTTTGTTTCCTATTCTTGGCTGTTTACATGTACTTGAAAGCTCCTAAGAAACCTCTACAGATTTTTTTTCTTTAAATAAGATCGTAGTGATAATGACAGGTTTCATTCTAGAATCAAGAAACTGGACTGAGTACACATTTATATTACACACACTTACTGAGAAAAAACAGAGCTTTCACTCAAAACTTAAACTGGGGAATTCAAGCTTGCTGCTTAACAGGGGCTAAATCTTCTCTCTCACCACAGCAGAGAAAAAGCCTCAGCTAAAGTCAATGGAAGTAGAATTGGGCCTCTGAAGACCATGGATAATTCCACCTACACATTCACCACCATGTACACAAACTTAAACTCCTTACATAATTGTCCCAGTGCCAGTGATGTTACAGCTTGATTCAGCCCCAGATGGTGGGTGTAACTTTCAGTGAGCGCTCATTAGCTCCACTGAGGCCAGATTAAATTTATACTCTCTGTGAGTCAAAATTCTGTTTTCAGAGTCAGTGTGTACATGCCTAGTCAGTATTTAAAGAGCAAAACAAATAGAAAGTACTGCAAGGTCTAAGGGTTTCAAAGTGCCCCAGGGGCAGACAGAAGTTCTCCCTCCATATGCGAGTGCCTGTGTCAGATGGAGAATTACAGGACAATTGGCACAGAACGTGACTGCAGGATGGAGAAAATGAAATCAACTATCTTATTTAAACACGGGGATTTCTAGGGCTATTTGTAGCATCTTTAGGTCACCTCTGCTTTTACTCAATAGAAAAATAACTTTTGGTCTTTGCAACAGTTGTTGAGTTTCATTTAGTCTTAAAAAAAGATGACAAGTTCTAGGTGGACAAATGGGTCATCAGTCAGCCTCTGTGTATCTGTAAAAGAACTACACTCTTTAGTAAATGTTAATAACATTAAGTTAGAAGGAAGACCATGATAGCTTACGTGCACTAAATTGTCAAATGGTCAAAAACA